AAGTATTATGATCCAAGAGATTTTCGCTGAGCCAAACTGTCCTTTAGGCACAAAGGCAACGTGAACATATTTTTGAATGTGCAAGAATTCAGGAAATACAGTTTCTAAAGCCCTTTCTTAAAGATTTTAATAGATTATAAATGGAGAAAAGACACCGAAGGGGCTGCTAATGGCCATCAAATCCATCTAAACATGTGACTAAGATTAAAACAAATGTGGGAATTATGGTTACAGAACAAAATGTAAATATTATAAACTGACAGTGAAGGAGTGATAAAAGCCAGTGAAAGTCGAGTGAGAAAGAGACAGAAGGAGGGAAGTAGGTCAGTTATGCTGATTTCCTCAATGTTTAGAGCTAGTGGCCAGAAAATATTATTTAAAGCTGATGAATCAAGCACAGAGGTCTAAATATATTTATTATTTATTTATTTATTTATATTTCAGAATATTATGGGGGTACAAATGTTTAGGTTACATATGTTGCCTTTGTCCTGCCTGAGTCAGAGCTTCAAGTGTGCCCACTCTCCAGACAGTGTGCACCACATCCATTAGGTGTGAATATATAAATATATTTAAAGGCATAAAGGTAAAGGTTAAAGACAATATAATCCCTATAATTGGGTATCATGAAGAGGGCATATATGCTGACTCCATCATGTTTACAGAATAGTGTCAAAAAATACTCTCAGGAACATCCTAGGAAAAAGTGCAAGCTGTGACAAGAGAATCTAACTGTATTGCAAATGTATGAGGCAACTTCACTGAAGGGTGGGGGCAAAAGGTGCTGATCTAGTAACTTTGGAATGAATGACGTCTATAACACTAAAAGCAACAGGAACTGCACAAAAGCATGGTACACTAGGAGATAAGGCTGCTTCCCACAGGACTTCAGGTTAACAATCCTGAGCATACGTGTATACTGGAATTGAACAATTACATAAATGGATGGTAGATACTAGAAGCCCAGTCTCTCACTGTTGGAGTAGGAATTTACCTACAAAAAAGTGGAAGGCTAGAATAATTCATGTAATGAACTAGAGTTGGAGACATCAGTAATAACTTGTTTTATTCAATATAGATGATTACATATAGAAATACTTGTAGATATGTGTATATAAACAGATTAGTATATGCACATATATTTCTTTTCTCTGTCAGCTGAGAGGGCCTAAAAGAAACAATACCCCAATAGCAACAAGCACATCAAAGGCCTAGATCTTGGTTTCTATTAATAACATCATTCTTCAATAAAAAGAACCACGGATCGGGGAGAAATGCCTGATTATAGGATAAAGGCAAGAAATATACAAGATTAGGCTGGTGCATCTTGTAGTGCCAGAAAGTAAGGAAATGTTAAAAAAGAAAAACTCACGTTGATGGGGATGTGTCAAAGGAACACAAGAGCCAACCAAAAGAGCTCACAATGGCCAAGCTGGAACTATCTGAGCAAAAAAATAATGTAATACTGTGTTATAACACAAAGTACAAAATAAATGTACATGAGTCCATACTGATATAAACAACTGATTAAATAAATTAACAAATGGACGAGAAGAGACAAATCTCCAGTGCAGCATTTCAGATTGTTATAGTTATATAGATACTGCATTGAATTCACACTGATTAACTCCAGGGCTGGAGGAAAAACTGGCTGTTTTGGACTTCCTGAGAGTAGTCCTGTTTTGGACTACTTTCTTCAATATGTCACCTTCCAAAGGGATTTTTCAAGGGTAGTTTTAACTATTTTTGATATTTGCCTTATATGCCGAGGGCTGGCTTTAGCGCCTCGGCCTGAAGAAGATGGGACTTCATTGCACTGATAGCCTGTAGAGCCTACTACAGGGCCACACACAAGGCAAGGCTCTTTGTTTGCTTTTTAGTCACAATGGTGCTTTATGAGGTGCCATGTGGTGTGATATTTCTGCAATCATTTGTGCTGAGATTGACACATTTACAGGAAGGTTGGTCACTGGTGCCAATTCAGCTGACACGCTCCACCTTCTTCCCAAACAAATCTCCCGCTTTGCCTCCTCTCTCTCAGCCCCGCCCCATACAAACTTCTATTCATTGCCTTATGCCTCTGCTCTCACCTGTTATGTTCACGCCTACCGTCTATTCCATTTTAAACTAACGTCTCCCTGTTAATACCTCCCACTAGCGTACTAATGATTACTGCTGCCTAAGACAGAAGTGACTTGAAATCTAGCTCTCCTATAATAGCCACGAGGACCTGGCCATGATTCAAGCCCAAATAACATAAGCCAAATTACACACTCAGTGGCGAAGGCATTTTTCAAGTCCCCACCCTTGTGTGAGTGAAAGTGGAACAAAGATTGTGTGACTACATTGTTCAAACACAGGGAGATGACTGCACTCCTCTCCACTTCTGTTTTGTTTCTTGATTCTTCGCCAAGCCCCAAACCTCCAGCTCTACTTCTTTTGTGATGTTTCCTCTTACTTGGGGAATGCTGAAGGGGAAGATGGGGGAATATGTTGTTTTAAAGAGTTTGGGACTTTATCCTGTATGCATGGAGGGCCACTGAGAGGTTTTAAGGAGGTCAGCTTCATATTTTCGTCTTTGGAGGTAAGTTCACTCGGATGGCAGAGATGCGGGTGCACTCAGTGTCCCCTCCAGGAGAGCAGTGGTCTCTCTGGGCACATCTGGATCAATCCAAAGCTGAGAGGGGCAGAGCTAATGTGATCTTAGGGTATGAAGACATTAGAATAAAGGCAGATACACAAGCTTTGTGCGTTCTGGCCTAAAAAGCAAATTGTATTAAATCAGCCATGCTTCCTAATCTTTGTCCCACCCTGGTAAACATAAAAGAGGATGATATGTGTATAGCTCACTGGGATCACCTTGAGGGAGCTTGAATAATTCTAAATGGAGCTTTGTGGATAGTAATTATTTACATTTTCCATATATGATATTCTTATAAAAATAAAAACAAAAATATATGATATATATTATGAGAAGCAAAATAAAAACAGTATTGGGGTAGATTTAAATATTAAATTTGTGTAAAATTTTCTGATAACATGTCTGTGATTTTTTTTTTTAAATGAAAAACTAGAGCTTGCTTCCTGGAGTCTAACTTTTTTATATCAAGTTTTATATTGAAAATAGTTCCTGCACGTGGTTCCTGATGAAGACATTTTAAATGATAATCTCTTCAATTTTTGACAGTCATCATGGAGAAAAAAACTTTTTTGGTACAAAAAGTGATGGTAAAATATAAAGCCACATTTTTCTGTTCATATTTTTATGTATGATTTTGTATATTTTGTACAGACATATATCCTACCTGTAGATATGAGCACACAGCTTGGTGTGCTACTGGACTAATTTTCCCAAACATCCAGTACCAGCACCCAGACCAAGAAACAATGATACCAGCATCCCTGAAGCCCCATTCATGCCTTCTCCCAGCAAATACTCCCGCTTCCCCCAACAAGGTAACCACCATGCTGACTTTCGTAAGTGGAATTGATGCAGATAACACTTTTTCGTGCCTGACTTCTTTCCTTCAACCTTACATTTGTGAGATTAATTCACACATCATTTTGTACAGCAACAGTTCATTCATTCTCAAGACTGTATGGGATTTTATCGTGCAGAAACACCACAATTTACTGTCTAGTCTCCTGCTGGACATTTGGGTGGTTTCCAGTTTTTGCCCGTTGTGGCTGTGTGGCTATGCACACTCTTCTACATGTCTCTTTGGGTGCCTATGCACGCAGTTCTGCTGGGTCTGTGTACAGGGGTGAAGTTGCTGGGTCATGGAGGACAGGTGATTCCAGCTGACATTCCTGCCAAAAGTGCAAAGTGTTCCAGCTGTTCCACATTTTTGCCAACGTGGTATTGTCAGTTAAAGCCATTATTTTTAACAACGATTCATAAATCTACAGCAGTCGAAATTATAAAGGATCTAACAGCTCTTTTTTTCTATTAAAGATAATAATACAGTATTGACATTTTTTTCTGATGAGAGAGATGAATGTTGGAGAAGCCCTTGGGTGAGACTAACCAAGACCTATCCCTAATCAATATCGTTTGTAGCTGTTTCCATAGGAAGAAGCTAGTTCTTTGTGAATTCCAGAAGGAAAGAACGATCGAATGATCTGTTCTCTTCTTTGGCTGCTCTATTAGATACTTAAAGGTTTCTGGGAGAGGCCATGCCTCTTTCTACTCAAGGGACACGTGAAAATGATGCCCTGCACAATTTCTTACGCTATTCCCAACGCACTTCTTCATTCTGATTTATTTTCCTAGTAATGTGGGCATAAGGCATCATGTATTACTGGCACGGAAACTGAGGCTCCAAGGGCGTAGAAGTGATCTCAAAAGGTTACAGGGGAAACGACAGGGGCAGGGTAAATTTCCTGACCCACCACTCAGCGCTTTTCCTATCAGGAGACAAGGTACTGCTGCCCAGTTAGCATACTCTTTAGGCAGAAGGCTTTTCGATTTTTAGAAAAATCAGAGCCTGACCAGTGGCCCCAGAACGATGACGAGAAAGCAAGTGACTGCGTCTACAAAGTCTAATTATGGGTCCTCAAACAAAAACTCCACGAGGACTCCACCCGCATCTCTGAAGCGGCCGACTACGCAATCTCCTGGTGGCACCTGCCCCGCCAAATGGGCAATGAGGGTCTGTATTTGGGCGAAGAGGGTTTTGGGCAAAGCGTCTGGATCATTCCGGCGCTCCGAAGGACTGGTGTGCGAGGGGTTCAGCACGGTACCCCCGTGGGAATGCCGGCCCTTCAGGACATCCCCTGCCGCCGGAGCGCGGGGTGGGGGGCGACACTGAGCTGGCTCAGGCCATGGAACTTCTTACCCTGGCAAGGTGCTAGGCTAGCTCGGACCGGAGCTCTCTAGAATTAGAACTGGGGGTGTTCTAACTCTGCCGCCCACGGAGCAGGGGCGCCGCTCTATGCTCGGCTCTCGATTGCTCGAGCCTGGCGGCGGCGGGCGGCGCACACGACGGCTGGGGCTCTGCGCTCGAGGGGTCGAGCCTGGCCCGAACCGGCGGCGATGCACACTCAGCGGTGACCCCGGCGCCTCGGACGGGCGGGAGGAAGAGGCCGCGGCGCTGGCGTGGGGATGTCGAGGAGCTCGAAGGTGGTGCTGGGCCTCTCGGTGCTGCTGACGGTGGCCACGGTGGCCGGCGTGCATCTGAAGCAGCGGCAGGACCAGCAGGTCGGTGTCACGTGACCGTCTTTTCCCGGCCTGTGCGCGGCGGCGGCCTCGGGCCTCCTGTGGTCTCCGTCCGCGTGGTTCGTACACTCCTCCTTGTGTCTTTTCTTCTCAGCCTCACGACTGCCCCCCGACTGCGTGGCCCGGCGCCCCCACGCATTTGCGACTGCGGCGTGGCGGCCGCCTAGCTGGGCCCTGGCCCCTGCGGCTCTCCGCGGCGTGTGCAGCCTGGAGGTCCAGGGTAACCCCTCTACTAGCGGCTGGGACCCCAGTGCGGAACGGGCCTTGCTCCCGCAAACGCACGCTCTTGGGGTGCCCAGCGGTTCTGTTTTCAAGTCACAGCTAGTTTGCAATGAAGCCGACCTTTCAGCATCTCACTTGGGCCGTTAGAAAGTATGGATGGAAGGCAGGCAAGCGCTTTCCGTGGGGTGCTTTCAGCAAGTTAGTGGCCTCTTTCCCACCCCCAGACCCAAGGTTGGGGCTAAAGCCTAATGTGTTTAAGAGCTAGTGATTTTATCCCGTGGTAAAGCAGACGCCCCTATACCCACCGTCGGTGCCTTTTGTATTTTTTGTTTAAATGAACACTTTGCTATGGAAACTGTAGACTGAGAACGATACCAGCCTCCAGATTTTCTTTTTGCTACTTTTATTTCTGGAAATATACGTGACTCACTGAACAGTGACGGACCATCTATTCTGTCTCTCCCAGTTCATATTTTCTTTTTTATTCAAGTTGGCAAACGTTTTGTGACCACTGTATGCCAGGTACCTCACTGGGTACTTTGGGAATACAAAGAGAAAAAAACAAAGCTGCTCCAGAGCCTATAAATGATTCACAACAGTGCTGAATGTTGAGTGTGAGAACGGGTAAGTAGGTCGTTGGTGAGCTTCCAGAGAGCACCTTGACAGTTGTTGGGGTTGAAACTAGTTTGCCCAGGGTGGAAATAATGAACTGGATGAATCAAGAATAAACAGTCTTGTCTTTTTTTTTTTTTTTTTTTGAGACAGAGTCTCACTGTGTTGCCCGGGCTAGAGTGCCGTGGCATCATCTTAGCTCACAGCAACCTCAAACTCCTGGGCTCAAGCGATCCACCTGCCTCAGCCTCCCGAGTAGCTGGGACTACAGGCATGCGCCACCATGCCTGGCTAGTTTTTTCTATATATTTTTAGTTGTTCAATTAATTTCTTTCTATTTTTAGTAGAGACGGGGTCTCGCTCTTGCTCAGGCTGGTTTCGAACTCCTGAGCTCAAACAATCCGCCCGCCTCGGCCTCCCAGAGTGCTAGGATTACAGGCGTGAGCCACCGCGCCCGGCCAACAGTCTTTTCTTGATTTGCCTGTCCAGAGCTTTTGGCTGTGCTATGTATTTGGTATACAGAGATGAAGCAGATGAGGTCTTTGTCCTGGGTGTTCACAATCTGTGGAAATCGGAGGAGAGGAAGCATGTGATGATAAAAGAATTTTGAGGAGGGGGATGGAATGACTGATGATTGGAGATTTGGGTTTAAAGTGTGGTTCTACGAGGGTAGCTTTTGTAATAGCGGACGGGAAGGAGACTTCCCCCTTCTTAGGAGAAAAAGGAAAAGATAGTGATCCCGAGAAAACTTGAGATGGAGTAGAGGATGTTATGTCAGATATAGTTCCAAGGTCAGTGAAGTCAGTGCTTTTTGAAGAGAATTAGGTAGGGATGGGTTAGAGCTTGGTTCTGAACCCTAGCTACTTATCAGGTGTTCCTGGGAGGTTTTTGCTGTGTGACTAAGGCTTGGCCCCCACCCCATACAAATTAAGCCAGAGTCTCTTGGGGGTGGGGGCCCGGCGTAAGTATGTTTTAAAGTTGACGCAGTGGATTTTAACACACAGCCAGGGCTGAGAAAGCACTGTGTTAAAGAGTGGAAAAGTGGTTATTTGAAAGTTAGAGATGAAGAAAAGATTGACCAGAATAACCTGGGTTTATTTTACCTGTGGTCCTTCATTAGGAGCTTACATTCTAGCAACGGGAAATAGGACAAATTTAATTGACACAGTAGGTTTATCAGAAGGTTCAAGGAAGCAAGAAATTAAATAATGATTGTTGTTTCCTGTCTTCTGTATGCCAGGTACTATATTAAGCACTTTATATGCATCATCTTTAATCCTCACAGTAATCCTGCAAAAACCAAGTGGTACTATATGAGGAGAAGCCAGAGTTCTAGGTGTTAGGGTTGTGAAGAGGTCTTTGGAAGTTATTATAGTAAGGGAGGCAGTTCAGTAGCTAGTAAGAGGAGTGGTTAGTAAGGTAGTTAAGTAGAAGTCACAGGAAAGATGTGTGAGGCAAACAGCATAGACATTGAAACCTGGAGGAAGATCTCAAATGGTGGGATGGAGTGCGAGATTATAAGCATATGCTAATGTCTCTGAGAGGGAAGGGTAGGATCAGGGAGGCAGGTGTGGAAAGAATGACTCCAGTGGATTGTGTGGGCTTTGTGGGGGGGTATGTAGGTATGTCACGGTGTAAGGAGTACAGGACAGGAAGACCCGAGGGGTGAGGGGACTGGAATAAACACCTCCATGTTTGTCTCACTGGGGATCTTGCCAAGGGTGCAGGGTTCAACAAAATTGGGTTTCAGGTGTCAGTCCCAGGACTCTTAAATTTCCCAGCTCTCTCATAATAGTGAGTGAAGCTATAGGCCTGTAGGAGGTCCAGCAAGTGGGTACTAGGTGAGTTTTTAAAAATAGATATAATAATTTTTAGAAAACCAAACATACCCAGACTGTGGGGCCCTGCCCTTATTAATTTTACCTCATAAGGCCGCTATTAAAAACAGTGTTTTGTGAGCTATAAACTTGAAAATATTAGTTATTAGTAATGACTAAATCGATGTTTTTAAAAGTCTCATCTTAGGTGCCAGTTCTACGTTCTGGAATTCTGTACTTGATTTTTTTAGTGCTTATCAAGGTAACTACCATTGATGGGTCTTTATCTTTACCTCTGATAGTAGCATTTTTTGTTTTTCTTTCTCTGTCTGTTATGTAATTTTTTTTTTTTTTTTTTTTTTAAGAGACGAGGTCTTGCTCTATTTGTGGTCATAGCTCACTGCAACCTTGAGCCCCTGGGCTCAAGAGATCCTCCTGCCTTAGCCTCCTGAGTAGCTGGGACTACAGGTGTGCGCCACCATGCCCAACCAATTTTAAAATTTCTTGTAGCGTTGGTGTCTCCCTATGTTGCTCAGGCTGGTCTCAAACTCCTGGGCTCAAATGATCCTCCCACCGCAGTCTTCCAAAGTGCTGGAATTACAGGCATAAGCTATAGTGCCCAGCCTCTGTTATATAGTTGATTAATAGTTTTGTGTGATTTTTACTTTTTCACTTTACGTGTTAGAAGAAGCCAGGTTCTTTATTGTATTTGTAATAATTTGTTCAGATTATAGTAATCTCCTTTTTTTTCTCTTGATATTGTTCAGCTAGGATAATGGCTAACAGGAGAGTAGTTCACAGTGCTGCCATAGTAACTCATTCAGTTTTTATTTTATCTTATTATTAATTAATCTATTTTTGAGATAAGATCTCACTATATCGCCCAGGCTGGTCATGAACTGGCCTCAAGTGATCCTCCCACCTCAGCCTCCTGAGTAACTGGGACTACAAGATTATAGGCGCAAGCCACCAAGCCTGGCTTTGTCAAAGTTTTAAAGCATCAAATATCGATTAAGCTTTTAAAATTCAACATGGTGCCAGCTTTTTCTTTTTTACTATTTCACAATAAGTTTTCTGTACTAAATGTTCAGGAATGTCTTAAAATGTAAGAAATCATTTCAGTAATAACTACACACTACCAAATTTATTTGCTTCTTCGTTACATTTTATTGCATTTTACATTTGTACAGAAAGTTAAAATAGTAATTGGGTATTTGGAATCTGAAAGTTTTAAGTGTATTTTGGTAACACTGTTACTTGGATTTGAATGGCACAAGGATGGGAACCACCTGTTCTGGGTGTTACTGAAATCTGTTTCTTACGTTTTTAGAGGCTTCGTGACGGAGTGATCAGAGACATTGAGAGGCAGAATCGGAAAAAAGAAAACATTCGTCTTTTGGAAGAACAGATTATTTTGACTGAGCAACTTGAAGCAGAAAGAGAGAAGATGTTATTGGCAAAAGGATCTCAAAAAACATGACTTGAATACGAAATATCAGTGGGACAGACAACGCTGAGTGTGTGTGTGTGTGTTGATGGAGAATAGCTTAGTGATATCTTGACCTTTTTTTTTTTGTCACTGTCCTTTAAAACTTGATCAAATAAAGGACAGTGGATCATATATTCTAAATTACTGCTTTATAAATCCCTTGTGTCTGAGTAAAGGTGTGGGCAGGCACTCTTCTGAAGAGTTTCTGTGTGATCCTGGTAGAAGCCCCTTTAAGTTCAGTGTCCAGAGCTTAGGATTGTTACTGAAAAATAGTTCTGAACTTGTGAGAAGGAAGGGATGGATAGTAACATCCACTTGAGTAGTTTGATAAGTCGGCACGATGATGAAGCCACAAGAACGTCTACCTCGGAAGGGCTGGAGGAGGGAGAAGTGGAAGGGGAGACCCTCCTGATTGTTGAATCAGAGGATCAGGCATCAGTGGACTTATCTCATGACCAGAGTGGGGATTCCCTCAACAGCGATGAAGGAGATGTGTCCTGGGTGGAGGAGCAGCTGTCTTACTTCTGTGACAAGTGCCAAAAATGGATACCGGCCAGTAAGGAGCTTCTCAATTCCTTTGATTTGTCAATGCCTGTGTGAAGGTTTGTTTTTCTAACCTGTGGAAGAAACATGAATGTAAAATAGATGTAAATAGAAGGATAATGATATTTATTATTTACTTGATCAACTATAAATTTATATAAAACATAGACACATTTGTATTAATAAAAATTGTCAACCTCTATCACATTGGTAAATTAACATTCTTGATGATAACTCAATAAAAATAAGAAAATTGGAAATCCTGTGTTACTTAAAGAATTAGCCACATTTTTCTAACACGATCATATTATAGATTTGGGGCCAAATTCTAGTCTCAGTGTAGAATTAATGTTCAAGTTCATAACAATTATTCTTTTATTTAACTTACATAGAAAACTGCTATTTATACTGCAGTGAGATCAGAGTTAGCAGACTGAAGGTGTTCCCTTTTCCAGGACAAGTCTTTTTTCTTATTTGCTGGTCCCCTTTATCTGCTGGCAAGGGGACACACACAGGCACCCTCATTGCCTCGATCTTGATATTCGCAGCTGCTAGCTTCCTGGCTCTTGAGGAGCATGGCTTGCCAGCCGTTATAGGATTCATACCAAAACAGGGTTTTTCTATTAGGCAAGAGACTGGTAAAGACATATGTACTCGAATGCTTTCTGTATAGATTTTGTAACTAAGAGAAATTTATATATATGTTACTATGAAATGGGTCATTTTCTGGTATATGGAAATGTTTTTGTTAAAAGGGGTTCAATTATTCAAATTAATAATAACATTATCACAGAAAACAAACCTAGAATTTACTACTTATTAGCTGGTCTTCGCTTCTGAGCTATCTCTTTCCCTTAACAGCTTGTTAATTCTGGGTTCTGCCTGAACATCTCGTGGTTTTTCCTTTGTCCTCACAGAATAAATTATAAACCTCCCTTTGTGGTCAGGCCCCTGCTAACTTTAGCCTTTTTTATCGCCATACGGACAACTTTGCAGTTAGGGCAAACTTTTTATTCTCCACAAGCAATTCTTACTTATCCCTAGGACTTAGCACATTTTTGTTTCCTCTCTGGAATGGGCATCTCTCCAGCCTCCGTGCCCTTCCCCATACACACAAGCACCCCTCTTCATCTGACCAATTTCCAATCTGTCCCCCCCCATCTTCCTAATATAGGTCGGGCACTCCTCTTATGTGCCCTCACACTGCCCTGTGATACACATCTCATTCTACTCCGGTGGTTTTCATGCCTCACAGAGCATCAGCATCGCCTGGGCAACTTTAAAAAATGCAGAGGCCTAGGTCCTGCTTAAGAGATAGATTCATTTCGTCTAGGGTAGATACAGGCTTATTTAAAAAACAAAAAGCAACTCCTTGTGTGATTCTGATGGAGAGTGAGGATGGAGAATTGCTGTGCTGTTGTGATTACCAGTTTTCTTGTAAACCTGTGAGAGCAGGCACCATGTCTGTCTTGAAAGTTATATTCCTGGTTCTTAGCCCAGTGCGTGGCACGTGGTGGGAGCTCAGATATTTGAAAGAATGTGTGAAGAGACCTTCCTGTAGGAGTCAGGAATGTGACAGATGGAAAATCCAGTTAGAGCAATAACACCTGCTTTTCCAGTACCTTTTTCCTAAAAGTTAACCACAGATCCTGGTGGGCATACACTTGATGTTAGAAGAATAAAAATCTTTCTTTACTCCCTTCCTCACCACAAGCCTGCTATGTGGGTTGGCTGAAAACAAACAAACAAAAAACCCCACACATACAGCCTGGGAAACTTGGGAAATTTGGTTGATAAACTGATTAAATCCTTGGGTTACCACTGCTCTAGATACCTATGATGTGACTTTTTGTTTTTCTTCTAGGTCAGCTGAGGGAACAGCTCAGTTACCTTAAGGGTGATAATTTTTTTAGGTTTACTTGTTCTGATTGCTCAGCAGATGGCAAGGAGCAGTATGAAAGGCTGAAGCTGACATGGCAGCAAGTGAGTAAAAAGCTCTAGAGTTCATGAGGGTGGTCCTCCAAGGGATTTGTCGGAATGACTATCGGGAGTGGGAAACATGTATGAGCTTTTGCATTGTTTTGAGGGGCACTTTTTATTTCACAATGAAAATTGGATACCGATTATGTGGAGAAAGGAGTTATTGGTGAAAAATACTCGCTGCTAACTTAGCGAATTGGGTTTGAGATTCTTGAAAATCTCACATGATTTCATTTATACGTTGATTTCACATGATTTCACATGATTTCATTTATATATTACAAGCTCTGATTATAATTGAAAATGAAGTTCACATTTTTCTGGTAGCCATTTTTAGAACAGTAAAACCATTTTTTAAAATGTAAAGATGGCTACATTGAAAACAGATTTAGAAGAAGTAATGTGACTGATTGCAAAAACTAACATAACCCAGCTTTTCTGCATTTGATCTCAGAGATGTTTGAATATTTTTTGTTTGATAAATATTTTCATTCACTTTTAACCATCTCCAATACCAACACCCGAATTTCAGCCAACTATAGCCTAAACAATAGCTTTTTACTGATCCCCAGGTTGTATTAAATTTTTTTGGTTTTGTTTTTATATTAATATGTGTAATAATGTATAATTTGTATAATGAGGCACCAATATATGTATATTTTTTAAGCTCAAAAAACAGATGAATTGTATATTACTCAGTTTTTTATGTTCATTCATTGAACAAATACTGAATGCCTATAATGAACCAGGTGCTATTCTAGGCCTGGAGACTACTGTGGTGAAGGAGACAGCTAAGGCCCTTGCCCCAAGGCAGCTGACATCGAACTTTTATTTTAGGTAATAAACATAAATAGGATAATTATCCATAGCACTTTTTGCTTTGAAAAAAATAAACAGGGTAATGAGAAGATTTTAGATTATACCACGTGAGCCACTTATAGTGTTCCTTGTAAACTGTAGTTGCTTTAGCAGCCTTAGACTGTTATCTTAATTATCAGTGCTTTATTAGGACACCTAATGAAATCTGTGAGTGGTGAATTTAGGAAGCCTTTTTTGACATGCCTGAAATTATATTAGCAGAAAATGAAGGGAAGTTTGTATTGAGGGTATAATATTATGAATGTTGTAATTGGGATATTTATCTCAAAGTGTCCATGGGATACTGTGTCTGGGCAAGGTCATGTTAATATTAATAGATGATTGTTATACGTGCACACAGGCAGATTTGTATTTGAATTGCAAATAGTTTCTCATAAAAGCTGTAAAATGGAAGAATAGCAAATATGTGTAAGTTGTATTTTCAAGAATTTGAGTTTTCTATAGAGATTCTTTTTGAAAAATATTTGGCATTTGTCTATATTGCTCAGAATATATATATTGGTTTAATTTGCATATTTAGTTAGACTAGCATAACTTGCAAATTATTTTGTCACTTCCAAAAGACATAGAGATGGTGGATAATAACCTGGTAGGATGAAGCGATAACTTAGATCACACACGTCTGGTTCTTGGCAAACTACTGACCAGTATTGCTATAGTTGCATCTGAAGAAGCCCATCTTTCATTGAAGACCTAAAAGAGAATCAGTTTGTCTTGAATAGACTCCACTGGTGTCTCCAAATACTTAGTGTATTGGAATGTGGATTTTCTGTCTTTTTAAACTTTGTATTGATTTACCAAAGAGTAAGTAGAAATGCTTGTACACAAAATCATATTTTGTTTGTATTATAAAATACTCCTGGTAAAGAGATCTGGTTTCCTGACTGAAAGGCCCCTTCCTGTGTCCTCTACTTCCTTGGTGACCTTTGTGAACAAGTTTGATGTATAAGAGAAACTTTATCGAACATTTAGGAAGAGACTGGGCATGGTGGCTTATGCCTGTAATACCAGCACTTTGGGAGACCTAGGTGGGAGGGTGGGAGGATTGCTTAAGATCAGGAGTTTGAGACCAGCCTGGGTTACAGAGCAAGACCCTGTCTCTAAAAAAAAAAAAAAAAGCATTTGGGAAGGATAGGGAGTTTTTACATTCTTGTCCTGGGGACTCATTTTTACGTCGCAAATAAAGATACCATGATCTGTGCTCACTATTTTTCTAGGTGTTCTTTAGCAGACACTGAGTGTCTGCTAGCCCTGAGCTAGGCCCTGGGGATACATTGGTCCACAATGCTGACTTCATTCCTGACGAGCTTGGTCTAGTAGCATGAAAGCAGAAAACTAAACTGGAATTCATTCTTTTAGATCACAGATTCCACGAGAGGAGGAAAAACAGGTCCTTTATATATTAATATATAGTTTGCACAGTAAATTTAAGTGATATAAAGTTATTTTCAAATAAATAGGTGAATTTTAACTTCAGTCATGAAATAAATATAAAGGAAGGTACTGGAAATAAAATAACAGACAAACATCTACCACTGAGATTATCAGTGAGTACATTTTTCTGAGGGGCTCTCAGAGTCTGAGATGGGGCAAAGCTCAGTCTTAATTTATTTCCTTCCTTCCTTTCTTCCTTCCTCTCTCCCTCCCTCCCTCCCTTTCTTCCTTCGTTCTCTCTTTTCTTTCTCTTTCTTTCCCTCCCCTCCCCTCCCCTGTCCTGTCCTGTCCTCTCCTCTCCTCTCCTCTCCTTTTCAATAGTCTCACTGGTGTTTCCCCTGGTGGAGTGCAGTGGCGTCATCATAGCTCACAGCAACCTCAAACTCCTTGGCTCAAGTGATCCTCCTACCTCAGCCTCCTGATTAGCTGGAACTACAGGCATGTGCCACGTCGCCCGTAATTTTTTCTATTTTTAGTAGAGATGGGGTCTTGCTCTTACTCAGGCTGATAATTTTCTTAAATTATTTATTGAACAATAACTTTTTTCAAATTGTGCTGAAATATGCATAACATAATTTACAATTTTTCAGTGTACAGTTTGGTGACATCAAATACATTCACACTGTTGTGTAACCATCCCCACAGTCCATCTTAGAACTTTTTTATTTTAATTTTAATTTTTTATTTTTTTTATTTCAGCATATTATGGGGGTACAGATGTTTAGGTTGCGTATGTTGCCCTTGCCCCCCCGCCCCCCCTAAGTCCAAGTTTCAAATATGTCCATTCTTCGGGTGGTGCGCATTGTACTCTTTGTGTATGCATATACCCGTCCCCTCCTCCCTCCCTTCTCCCCTCTCCCCCCTGCCCAACATCCAATAGATGTTATTCTTATATGTGCACTTATGTGTTGATCAGTTAATACCAATTTGATGGTGAGTACATGTGGTGCTTGTTTTTCCATTCTTGGGATACTTCACTTAGTAGAATGTGTTCCAGCTCTTTCCAGGAGTATATAAGAGGTGCTGTATCACCATTGTTTCTTAAAGCTGAATAGTACTCCATGGTATGCATATACCACATTTTATTAATCCACTCATGTATTGATGGACACTTGGGTTGTTTCCACATCTTTGTAATTGTGAATTGTGCAGCTATAAACATTCGGGTGCAGGTGTCTTTCTTATCCAGTATCATTTGTTCTTTTCGGTCATCTTAGAACTTTTTTATCTCCACAAAATGAAACTATACCCATTAAACACTAACTCCCCAGAATATTAACTGTTTAAAGGGAGATGTTTGTTGGCTGGTGTAGACCTAATACAAAAATAAGTGAAAGACATTTGAAAAATCTGTTCATGGGATTAATTGTGTGGTAGACTGCAAGCATTACAAGTTTAAGGATGGGGGAAATTGAAACTTGGCTAGTGAAGAAGCATCAGAATTACCGGGCATGTCTGTGTGGCATAGTCATGGGTCTTCCCACAGGACCGCTAGGGATTTAATGCTGTGAATACACATTGGGGCATTAACTGCAATTTGCTAGACTCCTAACAGCTATGGGATGCACCTTACAGAAATAAGGATTAAGGATTCTTTTCTGTATTCTGTTTCCTTTTCAATTTCATTGGCCCAAAAATAAGTCATGATTTTTATTAGGTTGAAAACATGGTTTTGAATAGCTCCTATAGTTTTGTCCATTTACATAAAAAATTACGTAAATAAAACATCTCCATGAATATAGATGGAAGGAGAAATGTCTGAAAGGGCAGTCACTGAAATTTTAAAAGTGATTAATTTCTTGATGGATTTCAAGTGATTTTTCCTTCCTTCTTTGCTCTTTTCTGTATTATTGAAGTCTTTTACAGTGAGCATCTGTTATTTGTATTTCTGAAAAATACCTCCCCATTTGGGGCCATGAGTTCCTCCTCTGTAAAATAACAAGCCTGGACTAGATCAGGAGTTTGCACACAGCTCTGGGGGTGTCTTGGTGCCTTCTGAGAATGGGCCGAGTGGCCAGGCCGTTCAGTTCCCTGCCCCATGTCTAAAGCTGATTTCATTTGAAGAAAGGTTTCCACAGTTAAAAATGGCTAAATCACTGAGTAGATGGCAACTGACATTTTTAGCTCCAAAATTTAGAGAATCTTGTTTTTACCCTCTAAAGACCTTAGAAAAGTAAATATGCAGGGGTCATTTTAAAAATATTTAATAAAGAGTAGGTCCATCAGTCAGAAAATGCTGGCCGAAGTAGGCACCTGCCGGTCAAGTGGTTAGCCCTTCCTTTGGGGCTGCATTGTATAGGGTAGGGGCAGTGTTTGAGACAATGCCTATTTATCAACTGATTGAGTGGCAACTCTGTTGTAACCAACAGTCCAACCACACGTCAGCCCTGCGTATGTAACACCTACAGAACAACTGCACAGAATTAAGTGGATTAGTAATGCCTTATGAAAGGAAAAAAAGAAGTAAAATTCTATACTGCTAATATTCCAAAATATTACACATCCCTTGTCTCCTCTGTTCACTACCATTCCTACTTGGAATAGAAAACAGAACAAACTTTTCCCCCTCAAGATTAACATCCCTAATCACACTGTTCTCCCAGCCCTTGTTTTGTTTGTGTTTCAGGTTGTCATGTTGGCAATGTACAACTTGTCTCTGGAAGGAAGTGGACGTCAAGGTTATTTCAGGTGGAAAGAAGATATCTGTGCTTTTATTGAGAAACATTGGACTTTTTTACTAGGGAGTAGGTAAGGTGATTTTTAAAAATATTATACTTGAAGGAATATTTAAAGAACGAAGTGTACAAGATTTGAGACAGCCTAATGTAGCCCTGTTAGAGATTTAGAGTATTTACTTGTGACGTTTACAAAGAATTTTTGAATGCCAGAAAATGTTTTTACTTTAAGTTAAAAAACTTTATGAGACCGGGTGTGGTGGCTCACACCTGTAATCCTAGCACTCTGGGAGGCCGAGGCGGGTGGATTGTTTGAGCTTAGGAGTTTGAGACCAGCCTGAGCAAGAGCGAGACCCCGTCTCTACTAAAAACAGAAAGAAATTAGCTCGACAACTAAAAATATACATATAAAAAAATTAGCCGGGCATGATGGCACATGCCTGTAGTCCCAGCTACTTGGAAGGCTGAGGCAGGAGGATCACTTGAGCCCAGGAGTTGGAGGTTGCTGTGAGCTAGGCTAACACCACGGCACTCTAGCCCGGGCAACACAGTGAGACTCTGTCTCAAAAAAAAAAAAAAAAGAAACCTTTATGAAAAATCGAAGTGGCAGTGTATACTTATTATAAAAGTGTGGGTTTCTATACTTCTCTCATTCTACTTCCAGAGGATAGTGTTGGTTTCTATTGAGCATGTTTTTGAAGAGATTCTTAGAATGTTAAAAAATGGAGAAAGAGTTTGATAAGTAACTATTTAATTGAAGAGATAGGATTATTATGTTCTTTTAAGCTGGTCATGGTGATGCACCCCTGTAGTTCTAGCTACTCAGGAGGCTGAGGTGGGGAGGATCACTTGAGCTCAAGAGTTTGATGCCAGCCCGGGCAACATAGCAACATCCTATCTCTTTGAAAAAAAATTCAGTACCTTATAGGAGGTCAGGAGAAGAAAAATAATGGCAGTTACTGACTGCACTCATTTAGATTCCTCTTAATGGGGTCTTGTGTTATTAGTAGTTTTTGTTAACTCTGGAAGTAGTTTTTATTTTTTGGCATTATTCATATTGCTTAGCAAAGTCTAGGCACATTAATATGCATCTGGTTTATTTGTTAATAACTGTTTTACTGTTTTCATAACTGTGCTTTGATTTCGCTGCTATCATTCCTCCATGGTTGCTGCTTTGGTTCATCAGATTTAGGGATGCCAGTGCACAGACATTGAGACCATATGTTTTAACTAAAGGTCCATGTGGATCTAACAAGATTTTTATTGCTGTTAGGAAATAGTGAGTTTGCTACTACATTGGTGACTTTTGTTTGCGATTCTCATTGTTAGTTGTTGTCTGAAGTCCCATGTGAGATTCATAAGTCTTGCATAATTAGATCAGTGAAGACATGACAAAGGCTCTGATTACTTCAGGTCAGAGCAAGAAGTTCGTACCTGTCCTCACTCTGAATTCGCCACAGCCTCTGTTTCTTCAGATGCTGAGAAATCACAGCTTTGCTCATGTCACTGAGAGTACAAAGAGGGCAGCTGAAAGGAGGGGTGACCTGAAGGCTTTGTGAGAGAACATGGAATAGACTCAGCACATTTTTACAAAAGGGGTTGTTTTAGTTCTTGAGTTATTTAGTGATGCTAAGAAAAGAATTGACACTAAAACTGGTTCTTTCTCAGAAGGAAATAAAATCTGTTGTTTTAGTTTAATGATTCAGTACTATTTATGGAACTTAATTTACCCCATTTATAAGGGATAAGGAAGGGAAAAAACTGATAAAATTAGATCTTGGAATGTATTCATGAACTCTCAGTGCAGTTCTTTTTAGTTGATTATCTTCTGGAAGAAATTTGATTAAAATTGCCTGTTTTTAAGGATATCACTGGATTTTAACAAATTGTTCATTTGTTTCATTTGTTCATTTCTAGAGCATGTTCTGAGAGGAATCAGCTGAGCCTTGGCTGCTAAGGCTTTTTCTTTTTAATACTCAAATGCAAGGCATTAATGACTCTCCAGTTTCTGTGTAGTTTAACCATTAAACCAGTGGTTTTTGGCCACATTGGTGTATCACCTGAATTATTATTTACTTAATCTCCTATTTAAATCAAAAAAAGTACATTTATTTTAAAAAGAAACTTCTCATCACCATGGCAAATGAGAAACCCATATCATTTGCCATAAATAGAATGTAACTATAATAATAAATACACTAAAAATAAAACAATGCTATTAAATTGTAGCTGGATCCCATGGTATGTAAAAGCAATCTGAGGCTTTTTTTTTTTTTTTGTCAGTCAAAAAGGGAGGTTTCAAGTGCTAGTGAGAATTTAAAACAATAAACTTTCTCCTTGATATAACCAAAAGGAGTGAAAGAGAATTAGAAATCACTCTGTGGTTCTTTGCCACCTGATTTCCTGCCACAGTGCTATTGTTCACTTTGGGAACTCCGCTTTAAACACCAGTAATTGAAGAGTCACCTGCAACCACTCACCCTACGTAGTTAACACTTTTTCAGACATGTCTATGTATGAATGTTTATAGGATCACTATACCCCAGGGAAGCTGTCTGTGAACAGCATTTATATTTAAGTTAAACTTTTTTCTTAGCTACTAAAGATTTTAATTCTTCTATCCATAGGACATACTTTAAATTCTTAAAAATGATAACCATTTCTGATTTGTCACAGGATCTAAGAGAATAGTATGCTGTGTAATGAGGTTCTAAATTTGAACACATTCTTTTTCAGATGTTTACAGATTTTTCTTTTATGCCTTTAATGTGTTATTAAAATGTAAATATCTAAAAGTTCATTTATGGCTAACCTAAATAATTTTATGTACCATTGTAGAAACAAGGTAAAAAATATATGAAAGCTTAATTATTATAGATTAATTGCCATTGTGTGTGCTTTTACAATCCTGGCCTTGAATTCTTCCAGAAGGTACAGTTTTGACTAGTGAAGTATAGTTTGAATACTTTCTTCTTATTACCATGTTTTTCTGATTTTAAGATGCACAAGTTTTCAAATTTTGATATCTCTGACAGCTGCATATATCTTACAATTGATGGAATGTCAATTGATGGAATTTAATTGATAGCTAGTTCTCTTATTTGTACATAAAATGGTGTATCTTACAGATAATAGATCTTAGAATTGATGAAATGTGATAGAATACATTCATAGTATTTATACTTCAAAAACTATATGAGGAGGATCCTGGGAAGATGGTAGAGTAGGAAGCACGAGGAATGTCTTCCTACCTGGACAACACACTTGTACTGGCAAATTCTGACTGATGTAACTACTTTGGAACTCTGGAGTCTAATGAAGGCTTGCAACTTCAGGGGAAGGCTTGGACAGTAAATTGTGGTTAATTTTGGTCAGTTTCAGCTCTTAGCACAGTAGCAGCTACCCATCCTTCCATGAGGCCCTAGGGAGGGAGCTGTGCATGTGTTCCTGGAGCAGTATTCAACCCAAGTGCCTAACGGTAGATGAGTGGATAAGCAAAATGCGGGGTGTGTGTGTATATATATATATTAATAATATAGAATATTATTTGTTCTTAAAAAGGAAGGAAATTCCTGGCACATGCTATAACATAGATGAACCTTGAGGACGTTATGCTAAGTGAAATAAGCAGACAAATACTATATGATTCCACTTATCTGAGGTACTTAGGATAGTGAAAATCATAGACACAGAAATGGTGGTTGTCAGGGGCTGGTGGGAGGGTAGAATTGGGAGTTACTGTTTAATGGATCTTGAATTTCAGTTTTGCACAATAAAAAGAAGTCCGAAGATGAAAGGTGAAGGTTGTACAACAATATGGAATGACTTAATACTGTTGAACTCTACACTTAAAAATGGTTAAGATAGTAAATGTTATGTATAATTTACTTCAGTAAAAATTTTGGGGAAAAACTATTTGAGACATTCATAAGTACAGTATTTGCATATGCCCTGGCAACAGATTTATTCTGTTCCATACAAATAGTATTTTGTTGTATGTCTGTGCTGTGATTTAGCTGGCTATATTAGTTTGCTAGTGATGCCTTAACAAAGTAACACAAACCGGATAGCTTGAACAACAGAAATTTATTGTCTCACAGTTCTGGAGGCTAGAAATCTGAAATCAAGGTGTTGGTAGGGTTGATTCCTTTTGAATACTGTGAGGGAGAATCTATTCCATGCCTCTGTCCTAGCTTCTGTTAGCCTGGGGTGTTCATTGGCTTGTAGATGGTGTTCTCCCTGTGTCTTCACACCGTCTTCCCTCTTTACACATCTCTCTCTGGGTCCAAATTTCCCCTTCGTATAGGGACAACAGTCATGTTGCGTTGGTGTCCAACCTGATGACCTCATCTTAACTTGATCACTATTTCCACATAAGGTCACGTTCACAGGTACTGGTGGTTAGGATTTCAACATCTTCAGGAGGACACAATTAAATCTGTAACACTGGCTGTTAATTTTATGAACATTTAGGTTATTTCTGGCTTTCTTCCATTTAAGTCAACCTGTGAAGCATATTCCTGTGTATACATCTTTTCTATTTTTGTGATTAGAAGTAGATTTGTGGGGTCACAGGATACACAAGGTTTTGATATATATATTATGAAAGGAACCTCCAGAAAGTATACACCAGTTTATATTCCCACCTTCAATGCCTGAGCACACTCTGAAAAACACATTGGTTCTTAAAATTCTTTAAGTCTTTGACAGTCTTTTTATTATTTATTTATTGTGATGAAAAACATAACAAAATTTATCATCTTAACTATTTTTAAGTGTATAGTTCAGTAGTGTTAGGCTATAATCCCCAACTCCTTGGCCACATACTAGTTCTGGTCCGTGGAAAAATTGTCTTCCATGAAACCAGTCCCTGGTGCCAAAAAAGTTGGGGACCGCTATACTGTTAAGTATATTTACATTGTTGAATATAGATTGACAGATCTCCAGAACTCTTTTCATCTTGCAGATCTGAAACTCTATACCCATTATACTACTCTCCATCTCCCCCCATTCTAGGCAGTCATCATTCTAAATACTTTCTATTTCTATGAATTTGACTTTTCTAGGTACCTCATATATGTAGAATCATCCAGTATTTGTCTTTTTGTGACTGGCTCATTTCACTCAGCATAATGTCCTCAAAGTTTACCTATGTCATAGCATAAGACAGGATTTCCTTTAATTTTTTTTTTTTTGAGACAGAGTCTCACTCCATTGCCCTGAGTAGAGTGGTGTGGCGTCAGCCTACCTCACAGCAACCTCAAACTCCCGGGCTCAAGTGATCCTCCTGCTTCAACCTCCCAAGTAGCTGGGACTGTAGGCGCTCGCCACCACACCCAGCTAATTTTTCTATTTTTAGTAGAGATGGTCTTGCTTTTGCTCAGGCTGGTCTCGAACTTCTGAGCTCAAGTGATCCTCCCCCCTCAGCCTCCCAGAGTGCTAAGGATTTCCTTTAAGACTGAGTAATATTCTATTGTATCTGTATATACTACATTGTGTTTATCTATTCATCCTTAGATGGACATTTGGGTTGCTTCTATCTTTGTCAATCTTTTTGAGAAACTGAAAAGCAACCTCCCTTTGTCTGTTGGGCAAAACAGGAGATTTCTCTTACGGATCATGACCTTAAAAGGTACATGAAGAAGCCAGGCACAGTGGTGCATACCGGTAGTCCCAGCTACTTGGGAAGCTGAGGCAGGAGGATCGCTTGAGCCCAGTAGTTCAAGACCAGCCAGGGCAACATAGTGAGACCTCGTCTCTAAAAACAAATAAAAATAGAAAAAAAGATTAAAAAAAAAGATACATGAAGGAGAGTGGTTCTTAAGCCTTTGATCTCAGGATGCTTTTTTACTCTTAAACATTATCTAGGACCCCTAATAGCTTTTGTTTATGTTTGGTATAGTTATCGATATTTATCATTTTAGAAATTAAAACTAATTTTATAAATATTAATTCATTTTAAAAATAGTGGACCCATCAGACACTTATGTTTGGCCAACTATAAAAAAAAAGGAAAAAAAGAAATGAAAGATGAAATAGTCGACCCATTTCATGTTAACATATTTTTATGCAAAAATATATTTTTTCCGAAACAAAAAAAATAGCAAGACAAGTGCCATTTTTTTATTTTTGCAAATCTCTTTAATGATTAGCTTCTAGAAGACAGTCGGATTCTCTTATCTGCTTCTGCATTCATTCTGTTGGATATCACATGTCATGTAGCTGCTGATGGGTGGGGGTGAGAAAGCAAGTAGAATGGTTTCTACTCTGGTCTCATCCCTTGGGTAAGAGGAGGACGTTTGGAAAGGTTAGAACAAGATGAGAATGTGGGAAAGGTGCTCTGGGACCAAAAGATTGGGGTTGGAAGCCAAGGTGTCATTCTCCCCATCTCAGAGAGTGCTCATGCCTACTAAAGTTTATTTTTTTTTCTGTGCCTTCTGGTACATCGTTCTTCTCAGAATGCTTTTCCTTTTCCTTTCCAGCAATATTTTCCAACTCTTAGGCTGGCTTTCTTGTGAAATACTGTCTTTTAGGATTTCTGGTAATCAATTTATGTTTTCAAGGTGGGAAAATAGAAGATTTGCCTTGAAGAATTTTGAATCCTGAATAGTTGACAGCTTGCATGTTTTGTTACTTTGTTGTGAAGCATATGCCTATTTGTGGAACATACCATGTAGTTTTGTTGCCACTCTAGTACATCAGGGCAGGTAGGTAGGAGCAGACTGAGAGATACATCTGCTTCCTTGGGTAAAATGAGCTATTTATCAGGGCTAATGATTAACTTGTATTACACAATGCCCAATCCTGGAGTTATGTTTCTTGTTTATTTCTTGAGAGTTCTGTTTAATTCACGTATAAAAGCAACTTAATTAAATTTAGCCTGTGGAATTCCATAATCATGGTGATTCCATGAGAAGTATTTTATGTTCTTTTATTATTTCATTTAATCCTCGTAACAACCCTGTAAAGTAAGTTCTATTATCCTGATGTTACAGGTGAAAAAATTAAGCAGCTGGAAGGTGGTAGACCCAGGATTTGAACCCAGGCAGACTCCAGAGCGTCTCTCCTGATGCTTACACTCTGTTCCTTTAGCAGTTGGAGGTTCCATTGCATATCACACCCTAGGAGTTACAGAGAGTATTCATTGAGTATATTTTCTATATAATGATCAAATTGAAGTGCCAGTAATTTTTGAACTCTTGAACTCTTTAGGAAAAAGACTTCAACTTGGTGGAGCACAGTAGCAGGCTGCCTCAGCGTGGGAAGTCCCATGTACTTCCGTTCTGGTGCTCAGGAATTTGGAGAACCAGGATGGTGGAAACTTGTTCATAACAAGCCTCCAACAATGAAACCTGAAGGAGAGAAGTTGTCTGCCTCTACTTTGAAAGTAAAAGGTACTGTTGTGAGAACAGTGCAAAAGGTGCCGGTTACACCAGAGCCAAGCAGATGCGAGCTTCAGAGACAGTCCTGCGTTTACCAGGCCTAGCTCGTAGGGCTCTCTGGAGCTACTCTGCTTTGGCAGTTTTAGTATGATACTTTTCTTTGTGTGCTGTAAATAAATACTATATAAAAACATCAAGTTACTGGTTACTGATTTTACAGATTTCCTTTGGTATCTGCAAAGTTCAATGTTTTCAATCTAATTTTTGTTTTTAAACTTTTTATTATGAGAATTTCAAACCATACAAAGGGGAAGAGAATAATATAATGAATTCCCATGTACCTTCAACCTCACTTCAACAGTTAACTCCTGACAGTCTCCTTTTATCTAAATCCCTGGTACTTTCCCCAGCCTTATACCCATCCCTACCCATGGATTATTTAGAAGGAAATCCCAGGCATCAACATTTCTTCTTAAATATTTTTGTATGTATTTCTAAGAGATAAGGATGGCTTTTTGCAGCCTCAGCCTAATATTACTTTCACATTTTAAAAAAATTAGCAGTAACTCCTTGCTATCACACATTAATCTGTTTTTTTAATCAAAAAAGTTTTAATGAACTTTTAAATTTTTAAAAATATAATTGGGAAAAGATCAAATAGTATTTAAGGCTATAAAGTCTGAAAGTTACCTCCTCTGGCCCCCTGCCTGCAGTTTCGCTTCCTAGAGTGACCACTGTTGTCTTTCATGAATACTTTTAGAAATGATCTTTGCATATTTAAGCATTTTCTTATTTTTTTAAAAAAAGTGTAAACAGACCCATACTATAATACTTGTTCTCCATTTTCCCACCACTTTCCAATATACCTTGGACATTTTTTCATAACCATGCATGTAGATCTATTTTATTTCATTGCATTCAGTATATGGCTGTATGATAAATTATCAAACCATTCCCCTATCGATGGACATTTTGGTTGTTTCTACCTTTTATTGTTATTTTAAACAATGCTATAATTGTACAAATTTGTGTACATGTGAAAATTGTGATAAATTCCTGGAAACAGAATTGCTGTATCAAAGGGCATATTCATTCAAAATTTTAATTAGTATTGCCAAAGTACCCTGCAAGAAGCTGTAATAAAATTTATGTCATACTAAAAGAAATGAAAATGCCCATATCCCCATACTCTTGCTGAGCATTACCAGACTTTTAATGTTTATCACTTCTAGTAGGTAAAAGATAGTATTTGTTTAAATTTATTACACATTATAACTTCTTATTCCTTAAGAGATATTTAAGTCTTTTAGTTTAAGGCATTCAGTGAACATTTCTCTATATTGAACATGATACTAAGCTCACTATAATTAGCAAGTGAAGCTCCAGTTGAGTAGTTATTTTAAAATTTAGATACTGGTTGAGCATCCCAAATCCAAAAATTCAAAATCCAGAATGCTCTGAAATCTGAAACTTTTTGAGTGCCCACATGATGCTCAAAGGAAAGGATATTTCACTGGAGCATTTTGGATTTCAGATTTCTGGATTTGGGATGCTCAACTGGTAACTATAATGCAGATATTCCAAAATCTAAAAAAATCTGAAATCCAAGACATACTTCCTTGGTCCCAAGCATTTTGGAAAAGGGATTATTCAACCTGTATTTATTCTCTTTTAGCAGCCTCAAAACCAGCTCTAGATCCAATCATTACTGTTGAGGGACTTAGAAAACGGGCAAGTCGGAATCCTGTGGAATCTGCCATGGAATTAAAAGAGAAAAGATCTCGAACTCAGGAAGCTAAAGACATTAGAAGAGCCCAGAAGGAAGCAGCTGGCTTTCTTGACAGGAGCACGTGTTCTACCCCTGTAAAATTTATAAGCCGTGGCCGCCGGCCGGATGTGATTCTTGAAAAAGGAGAAGTGATTGACTTTTCATCATTGAGCTCCTCTGACCGAACCCCACTGACAAGCCCATCTCCTTCTCCATCTCTGGATTTCTCTGCCCCTGGGACGCCGGCCTCTCATTCTGCCACGCCTAGCTTGCTTTCAGAAGCAGATCTGATTCCAGATGTGATGCCCCCACAAGCTTTGTTTCATGGTAAGGCTTCCCTTGCTTTGGTCTTTTATTTTGGGTATGGGCCATGATGTAAATGTGTAAGTGTTCACCCGTGGGCTGTGTGCTCTGCATTTCTTCTTTCCTGTGTCTTGATGACACTGTTTTATGCTCTGCACAGATGATGATGAGATGGAAGGCGACGGAGTCATAGACCCAGGGATGGAGTATGTCCCACCCCCAGCTGGGGCAGCAGCTTCTGGGTCAGTGGTTGGGGGCAGAAAGAAGGTCAGAGGACCTGAACAGATAAAGCAGGAGGTAGAGAGTGAGGAGGAAAAGCCCGACAGGATGGACATGGACAGCGAAGACACAGATTCAAACACATCTTTGCAAACAAGGGCTCGAGAAAAGAGGAAGCCTCAACTAGAGAAGGACACGAAACCTAAAGGGCCCAAGTATACTCCTGTGAGCATCTATGAGGAAAAGCTGCTTCTCAAGAGGCTGGAAGCTTGTCCCAGTGCTGTTGCCATGACACCAGAAGCTCGGAGACTGAAGCGGAAACTGATTGTCAGACAAGCGAAAAGGGATAGGGGATTACCACTTTTTGACTTGGATCAAGTTGTTAATGCTGCTCTTCTGTTAGTTGATGGGATTTATGGAGCCAAAGAAGGAGGAGTTTCTAGGCTTCCAGCTGGACAAGCCACGTACCGAACTACCTGCCAGGACTTCAGAATCCTTGACCGATACCAGGTGAATGTGTACACGCTCTAAATCCGTTGGGGGCAGAAGTGGAGGTAGGGCAGGCAGCACCAGGCAGTAGACATGTTTATGCTGTAACTTAAAATTATGAGTAATTTGGGGAGAGAGAAGAAAAGAGCAAGGGAGAAAAATACAAAAATTATTGGGCTTTATTTTTTGAATTTGTTCAGTATAAATGTTCCTTAATACATCTGGGCTTTTCTTTTCCCTTGGGCATTCAAGATATAACCTAGAAGTTTTCTTTATAGCTCTCAGTCTCTGTGGGTAGCTGTACATGCTGTGTGTCATAGCTTTGATTGACAGATTTGTTGAGGACATACAATGTACTGGATACTGTGGTGAGCAGGATCTGAAGGTGTATACACAGCTATGTAGTTAGGGGACAACGTGAAGAAATAGCAGCTAGGGGATCAGTGTGGTGTCAGTGGAACCCAAGTTTTGTGAATGCTCCTGGGAACAATTCCACAAAGAATTGCCGGCATATACCCTCCCACTAGGGGTAACAACAGGTCTCCATCTTTGCTAGCAGTTAATACTAACCTGCCTATAAGTTTTGCTAATCAGATGGCTATAAGTGAAATCTTGTTTTTTATTTACAATACTTTGATTACAGGTGAGGTTAAACGTTTTTTAGGTTTCTTGGTTGTTTATCTGTCTGTGAATTGCCTGTTTGGAGTCCTTGCACATTTTTATTTCTTTTCTGGACACTAGTGGGATCTTTTCTTTATTGCCAGTGTTCTGGTATTATTCAGCTATACACCATATGTGGGGCTTCTTTGTTTCCTTGTGCTGGGCATGTGGTGTGTGGGCCCTTTCAGTTTGAAACTCTCCTTCCTGAGTTCTGAAAAGTGTTAATTTCCTGTCGTCTATTTTCTCTGTTCTCTCATTTTAGAACTCCCTTGTTTGGATATTGGGCCCTGTAGACCAAGGGTTGGCAAACTTTTTCTGTAAAGGACCAGAGAGTAAATATTTTAGGCTTTGCGGGCCGCATACTCAGTTGGAACTACTCAACTCTGCTGTCGTGACAGGAAAGCAGCCATAGCGAATGGTTTGGCTGTGTTGCAGTAAAACTTTATCTACTAAAATGGCAATGGGCTGTAGTTTGCCAAGCTCACTACTCTAGATGGATCCTATTCATTTTCTTTTTTCCTCCTATTTCCCTTCTTTCCTGGGAAGTACAGTATTAACTTTCCTGCATTCTAGGAGTCAAGTGGGGAGGGGCCAGGAGCCTACAATTAAGTAAGTAAACTTCTACCGAATCTCCCTGTCTTCGGAACAGTACTCCCACATTTGGCTACCTGTGTGCAGAATCTCCCTCTTGAGCTTCTTCACAAAGTCCAGTCTGCCCTTGAGGGAAAGACCATTTACTGCATGGGGACAGTGTAATTGGTGTAGTGGTATAATTGGAGGCTTTAACCTCTTAAAGAGCCTCTTAATCCATAGTCCTACTGCCCACTCTCAGCTTCCATAGTACCTGATGCCTCTCATTGCTGTGCTTTCCTTAGGCTGTGTTTTGTAAATCATTCTGCTCCTTCACCACCAGCTTAGGTTTCAGCTTTCTTTGGTTTGTTAAGTAATTTGCATTCTCTGGTCTGTCCTTTTTCTTTTGCTTTGCTCAAGTGACAGAAACTTTACTAAATTACCTATTCACGCTTACTTCCCATTGTTTCTTCCTAGATCAATTTCTTGCTGGACTACTTTTACAGTTCTGTAAAATATGGCCTTTTTGAGGTTAAATATTTTTGAGGTTAATTTTGAAAACCTCTGTGCCTAAGTATATCTTCATTTCATTCTTGCATTTAAATGATAACGTAGCTGTATAGAAAATTGTGATTTTTGTTGTTCCTTCGACATTTTGAAATTATAACTTCATTATCATCTTACATATAATATTGCTCGCAAGAGCCCTAGTATCAATTTGATTCTTATTTCTTTGTGGGTGGTCTCTTTGTTTTATTCTCCCATCTCCTGGAAGCTTTGAAAATTTTTTCTTTGTTTTTGATCTTTAATTAGTACATTTTAAGTGTTTTTTGCTCTTATTTATCTTGCTTGACAACTCTGCTCTTTTAGTCAGACATATCTTTCTTTTTTTTTTTGGAGACAGAGTCTCACTGTGTTGCCCGGGCTAGAGTGCTGTGGCGTCAGCCTAGCTCACAGCAACCTCAAACTCCTGGGTTCAAGGAATCCTTCTGCCTCAGCCTCCCGAGTAGCTGGGACTACAGGCGTGCGCCAGCATGCCTGGCTAATTTTTTCTATATATTTTTAGTTGTCCAATTAATTTCTTTCTATTTTAGTAGAGACGGAGTCTCGCTCTTGCTCAGGCTGGTTTTGAACTCCTAAGCTCAAACAATCCACCCGCCTCGGCCTCCCAGAGTGCTAGGATTACAGGCGTGAGCCACCGCGCCCGTCCCAGAAATATCTTTCTTGTATTCTTGTTGGCATTTATCCTGCTTGATGTTCTCTGAGCTTCCTGGATGTGTGGTTTGGTGTCTCACATTAATTTGGGAATATTCTCAGTCATTGCTTCAAATATTTCTTCTATTTGTTTCTCTCTTCTTTCTGGCATTCCCATTATGTGTACGTTATACCTTTTATAGTTGTCTCACAGGTTTTGGGTAGTCTGTTTCATTTTTTGTTTTCTTTTTTTCCCCTGTGCTTTTCAGTTTTGGAAGTTTTTATTGACATATCCTCAAGCTCAGAGTTTCTTTTCCTCGGCTGTGTCCAGTCTACTCATGAGCCCGTCATCAAAGGCAATCTTTATTTCTGTTACAATGTTTTTGATTTCTAGCATTTCTTCTTTATTTTTTTCTTAGAATTTTCATCTCTTTGTTTAAATTGCCCATCTGCTCTTGCGTGCTGGCTACTTCATCCATTAGAGCCCCTAACATGCTAATCATAATCGTAGGCATACCTTGTTTTATTGTGCTTTATTGCACTTCACAGACATTGCATTTTTTACAAATTGGAGGTTTGTGGCAACCTTGCATCAAGTAAGTCTAATTGGTGCCATTTTTCCAACAGCATGTACTCACTTCGTGTCTCTGTGTCACATTTTGATAATTCTCATATTTCAACCTTTTTCATTGTTAATATATCTGTTATGGTAGCCTGTAATCAGTGATCTTAGATGTTACTATTGTAATTGTTTTGGGGTGCCACGAACCATGCCCATATAAGATGGGGAACTTAATCAATATTGTAATGTTCTGACTGCTCTACCAAACAGGCGTTCCCCTGTCTCTCTCCCTCTTCTTGGGCCTCTCTATTCTCTGACACATGATATTAAAATTGGGTCACTTAGTAACCTTGAAATGGCTACTAACTGTTCAAGTAAAAGGAAGAGTTGCATGTCTCTCACTTTAAATCAAAAGCTAGAAATGATTAAGTTTAGTGAGAAAGGCATGTCAAAAGCTGAGATAGAGCAAAAGATAGGCCTCTTGCACCAGTTAGCCAAGTTGTAAATGCAAAGGAAAAGTTCTTGAAGAAGGTTAAAAGTGCTTCTCCAGTGGACATACGAATAAGAAAGCCAAACAGCCTTATTGCTGATATGGAGGAAACTTGAGTGATCTCGATAGATCAAACTAGCCATAACATTCCCTTAAGCAAACCTAATCCTGAGCAAGACCCTAACTCTCTTCAGTTCTATGAAGATTGAGAGAGAGGAGGAAGCTACAGAAGAGAAGTTGGGTGCTAGTCGAGGTTGGTTTACAAGGTTTAAGAAAGGAAGCTGTTTCCATAACATAAAAGTGTGAGCTGAAGCAGCAAGTGCTGATGTTGAAGCTGTAGCAAGCTACCCGGGAGATCTAGCTAAGATCATTGGTAAAAGTGGCTACACTAAACTATAGATGTTCAGTGTAGACAAAACAGCCTTCTATTGGAAGATGCCATCTAGGACTTTCATAGTAAGAGAGAAGTCAATGTCTGGCTTCAAAGGACAGGCTGACTCTCTTGTTATAGACTAATGCAGCTGGTGACTTTCAGTTGAAGCTAATGCTCATTTACCATTCTGAAAATCCTAGGGAATTTAAGAATTATTCTAAATCTACACTACCTGTGCTCTATAAATGGAACAACAAAGTCTGGATGACAGCGTATCTTCCTGAAATTTTAAGCCCACTTTTGAGACCTGCTACTCAGAAGAAAAGATTCCTTTTAAAATATTACTACTAGTTGGCAATGCACCTGGTTACCCGAGAGCTCTGATGAAGATGTATAAGGAGTTAATATTGTTTTCATATCTGCTAACACAACATTCATTCTATAGCCCATAGATCAAAGAGTAATTTTGACTTTCAGTTCTTACTATTTAAGAAATACATTTTGTAAGGCTATGGCTGCCATAGATAGTGATTCCTCTGATGGATCTGGGTAAAGTAAATTGAAAAAATTCTGGAAAAGATTCGCCATTCTTAAGAACATTTGTGATTCTTGGAGGAGGTCAAAATATCAACATTCACAAGAGTTTGGAAGAAGTTGATTCCAGCCCTCATAGATGACTTTGAGGGATTCAAGACATCAGTGGAGGAAGTGACTGCAGATGTGGTGGAAATAGCATTCTGACTAGAGTTAGAAGTGTAGCCTGAGGTGTTACTGAATTGCTGCACCTTTATGATAAAACTTGAACAGATAAGGAGTTGCTTCTTATGAATGAGCAAAGAAAGTGGTTTCTTGAGATGGAATCTACCCCTACTGAAGATGCTATGAATATTGTTGAAGTGACAACAAAGGATTTAGAATATTACATAAAATTAGTTAATAAAGTAGTGGCAGGGGTTTGAGAGGAGTGACTCCAATTTTGGAACAAGCCCTGCTGTGGGTAAAATGCTATCAAATGGCATTGCATGCTACAGAGAAATCTTTCATGAAAGGAAGAGTCAGTCGATGCTACAAACTTCATTGTTGTTATTATCTTATTTTAAGAAATTGCCACAACTATCCCAGCCTTCAGCCACCACCACCCTGATCAGTCAGCAGCCAACAACATGAAGGCA